TCACCAATCTGAAAAGGTTGAGGAACACTTTATTAGAATAATATCCTTCCTAATGGCATGTTGAATTATGGAATGTTCTATTTGTCAACCGGGGGAAACATTTTATTTGAAAAATAAAGTTTTGGTATTTTCCATTCGTACAGAGTGCCCCTGTAATGTCTTTGCCTAAACAATCTAGGCAAGATGTTGACCGCTTGATTTTTATCTCACTATTCTTAGTTTCATCCATGCTGCTCCTGCGATAACACTCCAATAACAGGCAAAGAAGCAGTTTGGAGAGTAGTTCTTACACACTGATCAAATTCTCAGTCCAAAGGCTCAGTGGGGACAATGCTCTTGTGGAGTTAATCATATTCGACTTCAGTATAACTTTAGTAATGCTGCAGTACATACAGCATTTAGGTATTAGACCTGTGTACATACATGTGTTTTATTTAATATAATAGATTCCAGGGAACTGTTTTATTAAAACTCTCTTGTGTAAACTTCCAGCCTGGGATTTAGCTGTTCTATTCCCATTAATGTTAATAGGCATTATATAGGTAAATCCCCATATGCCTCACTATATTTAACTTTTCTTTCCATAGTTTCTGCACTGTCTTGTCAGCCACAATGAAATTTACATTCTCTTTCTAGATGATCTTCATTGGTACTAACTATACTGTATAACAAGAGGAGACTTGTTGGCACAGTTCTGATCTCATCACAATCGCTGATTTATCAGATGCAGAACATCTTTATTTAGATGCCATGCTAGATTTAAAAACCACCCTTGTTAAGTAGCTGACTCTTTATTGTTCAAGCCAAAACCATCAAGATGGTTTTTGTAGATGGACTAATTCCATTTTTAATTATGGTCCTTGGGCTGAAGCATAAAATTAGGACTGTATACTACTCTTGAGCAACAATGGAATTCCTGATGTTAGTGGAACTTTGCACAAAGATCAAGGATAGAATATGACCTGTCTGTAGTAACCTTTTCATTATCATAATTCTTGTTCAGTATCACTTAGCGGAAAAACATTCTTACCTTCACAGCTTCCCCTACTTCTGTCCGTTGTGGCAAATCAGAGAGAAACCAAAAAACCTAATGGCAGATAAATGGGATTGGCTAATGACTATAAAACTGTTAATACTATATAAGGGAACTACAGGCAAAGTATCCGTCATTTTCTATCCTAACCCTCTGTCAAGTGTTGCTATGACATGTCCATTGTTAAAACCTGCTGTTTCATCAGTTTATGGCAATTTCTGAGTGAAGCATTATAAAATACTTATACTCTTGCAAAAATTTTGTTTTGCAGTCCTGGAAGGAAACGAGACTTTTCCCCAGTCCCTTGGAGCCAGTACTTTGAGTCTATGGAAGATGTTGTTGTTGAAAACGAAAACGGCAAGGATATATCCTTTTATTTTATTCCCAGACTGAATTCTTCCTGATCTCAAGTGACCGGTGGGATTGTATGTCTTGGCGTTTATCAGGGATTCTGTTACATTTTTTAATTGTTCCCTCTATTACCCATCTTTTCCTTTGTGCTAATCAGTGCTACTGCCCCAGGCAACACCTATGTGCCAACGATTAGGTTGCAGTGGGAAAATATCTAGAAAAGTTGGCTTCTTGGTGTTACTTTCTCATCTCAGTTAATGTTGGGTCACTGAAAACTGTGTCCATGGGACCTAGGTAATAGTGTGTTAATGCTCTAGCCTTTCTCCTCTGAAGATGTGAGATCAAATTCTAACACACACACACACCCCTCTGTCAGGTTAAAGTTCATGTTCCTGGGATGGCCACTCTTCTAGTGCAGGTTTGTCAACATTGCACAAGAACCTCGCAGTTTTTAATACAATCATCATTCTGTTCAGTCCAGGCCATGACAAGGATAACACAATGAGTTGCAGGTCAGGATTGAGGTGCACCTCCCCTTAGGGGGAGGGATAGCTCAGTGGTTTGAGCATTGGCCTGCTAAACCCAGGGTTGTGAGTTCTATCCTTGAGGGGGCCACTTGGGGATCTGGAGCAAAATCAGTACTTGGTCCTGCTAGTGAAGGCAGGGGGCTGGACTCGATGACCTTTCAGGGTCCCTTCCAGTGCTATGATAGATATAGCTCCATCTATTAGCTGTGTGGGAGACGTTTACACTGTGTACCTGTACTGGGATGAGAGAGAGCCAGGCATCTGGAGACCCTGTTTCACTAGCACCAAATTCCACCAGGGGAAAACATCTCTCTTCCGTAAAAGAAGCTGAACTTTTCTTACACTTCACCATGTTCGTTCAGCCTGTGGATGAGTGATGCCCTTTAGCAATGTACCACTGGCTGCCTGCTAATTGGGAATGGGGGAGGAACTCCCTTTCCAGAGAGAGGAGAGTCATAGCTAGGTTGAGAGCTTCTGTGGTGCTACCTCAGCCTTCTCCTGGAATGAGGACAGCTTTAAATTCTGCCCAGGATTCAGAAAAATCTTGCCAGCAGAGACTGCCTGAGAGAAGAAGAACAGGAGTACTTGTGGCACTTTTACTCCTGTTCTTCTTTTTGCGGATACAGACTAACACGGCTGCTACTCTGAAACCTGCCTGAGAGAGGCTCTGAAACAATAAATTTCCTGCATGCCTTCCCTTACTCTGCCCACTCTGTGCACTGCATTGGTTGACTCTGGATTCTCCATTGGGAGCCAAGTGATGAATCTGTCCAACTTCCAAGGAAATCCCTTGAACCATTCAGTTTCAGGAGAAAGGGGAGCAAAAAGAAGGCTAACGCACAGCACCGGGAATAAGGAGTTCTTTACCTGGGTCTGCTATAGATGCTCTGAATGACCTTAGCCAAGCTATTGCTCTCTGTATTTCAGGTTCCTCATTTATAAAATGGGGACAAAACCTACCTGTCAGGGCTGTTGTGAACCTTACTTATTGTTCGTAAAGTGCTTTGGGATCCTTGAATAAGACGCGCTGGAGACATACAAAGTAGCCTTTCTATAGATTAGACTTTGTACAAATTAGTATAACTTAAACGGGTCTCAACTGCAAAGTGAGAAAGGAAAAGTAAACCCTTTCCAGGCTGATAGGAAGCCAAATTTCAATCCAGAGCCAAGAGCCATTGTTGTTTCTGTAGGTCCAGAAGTGTGTGTGGTGCATTAGACGATTAAAATCACCATGGAAGCAACCTGAGTAACATTCTTCACTTAGCTTGTCACTACTGTCCACTCTGTTTTCTCTTGAATCGTGTTCTGCATAGATTAGGCAGCTCTCCCAGGTTTCAGAGTTCCTACTGACTTATTTGTAGGACAGTAGCACCTACAGGCCTAACCAAAATTGGAGCCCTGTTACGCTAGGCATGGTACACAAACATAGTGTAAACGGTTCCTGTCCTGCAGGAGGTGGTCTAAATAGATGAGACCTTCAAAGGGAGGAAGGGGAATGAACAGAGGTGAAATGTAGAGCTGGCTGGAAATTTTCTGACAAAATATGCCAATTTGTTGAAACTGAAACATTCCAATGGTAACCTGCCCAGCTCCTCGGCAGCAGGGAGTCTGGGAGCCCCCCTCCAACTGGAGCTCTCACCTTGACAGGCTCTCTGCCGTGCAGCCAGGAGCCTGGCTGGAGCCAGGGCTGTTGGGTTCTAGCTCCCTGCTCTCTGGCAGGTCCCTGGGAGTCAGGTGCTGCTGGCTGCTCTATTTCATTTTAGTTCTACTTTTTGTTCCAATCAAAAGAGAAACTTTTTTCAAAATGTCAGGATTCCCCTTGGAACAGACATTTTCTATTTTAACCAGCTCTAGTCAAGTGACTTTTTCAATCAATCTGTGTATTAGAGCCCAGATCTCCTGACTCCCAGTCCAGTGTCCTATCCCTGGCGCACACTACCTTGAGATCAGTGGGTTTTAACCTTTTTTCCATTTGCGGACCCCTACACAATTTCTAATGGAGGTGTGGACCCCTTTGGAAATCTTAGACCGGGGTCCATGGACCACAGGTTGAAAACCATTATTCTACCGATTTGCTACTTTTTTAGCTGGCTTTCCAGGATATGCAGATAGCTGATGTCTCCCTACAGCTTACCTTAACAAAGGCACCATACTACCTCATGGATTCCCAAGGGTAATTTTATTGCCCAGAGGGATACGTATAGGTTTGTCTGTTTCCTCAGTCAAGTAATGGGAGAGCGTGTTAGACAAAACACCAGTTTGTGGTCCCCAATGGTGTCCTGAGCATTCCAAGCTTTTAACTTAATTTTTTCCTGTTGATTTGCTTTCTTTGATGTACATTACGTACAGATACTATTTTCATGGCGAAGAGGGTGTGTGATGAGGTAAGGAACATAATAGAGTATGGGATGATGGGGAGGTAGGCAGTATAGCTAGTTGGATAGTATGGGCTAAACTTTTCCCTTGGTTGTAGTTTGATCTGTAGATTATGTATTCATTTGATTACTTAAGAATTCGCAGTTATCAGTCTGAGATGCAACAGATTCTTGTCCCAAGATCAGGCCCAGTATTAAAATTACTGTTCAGTCGCGAACCCTGATGTACACAGTTGCAACACGCCCCCTGTAGGAACCCTTCTGTATTTACAATAGTTTAATACATTTAGCAAACATTCTAACCCAGCCAGGTAGATGGCGATAATACAGAATGTACATCTGAATATCCATATACTCACCCTGTCCCTTGTCGACCAACCTGAAATATTAGCCATTATCTTCCTCATCACCATCACCTTCCTCCTCCTCATCAGAGGCCATCATTCTGTACAAACCTATTGAAGCTGAACAGAGGGCAGAATTGGGGCTTTCTTGTGTACAGAGTAAATAATAAAGTGCTGGTGACCTTGTATGTGCTGTGAAGGGTCGAACTCAGTAGCTTGTTTCAGATAATTTTATTAAGAAACATTGTCCTTAACTGTTCATACACTTTTCGAATTTATAAAAGTGGATCGGAGGGCCCTGTCTTACTTTTGTTGCATGGCGGAGGCCATTCTGCTCTTTCCTGGGCTGTGTTCAATGTAAGTAAGTTGATTGGAAGTAGAAGTACATGTATACGAGTGTTGCGTCTTCCATCCATGGATGACATGAAAATATGAAGCCCTGCTAAGCATGGGAAAGATAATTCAGAAAGGTCCTTGTAATCTGCCTGTCTGAACTCCTGTATTCAGACTCTTTATCGCAAGCAGTAAATATATTTTATGAACAAAACGCATCAAAGGCAGAGCGTCTGCCAACAGTTAGGATGCGGAGCATCATCGAAGCAACAGCCATCTCCGTTCCTCTGACCTGTTTTAATCTGAGAGGCCAAGATGTTGCTCGTCACAGTTAAACCAACTTTTCCCCCCAGATTGATTTTCCACAAATAATAGGAAGATGTTATTGACCATCTTTAATGGAGAGGAATAAGTTTGAAGCTATCTTATTTTCACCTTGACGATACTGGTGTTGCATTGATGACACCACATTATGACCAAGTTTGAATGTTAATTCAGAAAGCCTCCAATGCTTGAGAAACACTGAAACCCAACCTGGTGTTGCGTCAATGGGAGCAAGTTTCATGGCTTAACTTTTTCCACTCCAACAAACTTTTATTTATATATTTATATTTATATATTTATATGAATAAATAAATAAAAGCCTACAGGTTCTAAACCCAGCTAATAGCAGGATGTATAGCTGTACTTGGGACCCTGACCTTTAACCCAGCAACTCTAATTGTGGATCTTGTGCCCGGACGGTGGGTGTGTCTCCATCTCTTGTTCTAGTCCAGGGATCGACAACCTCTGTCATGCTGCTCACCAGGGTAAGCACCCTGGCGAGCCGGGGCAGTTTGTTTACCTGCTGATGCGGCAGGTTCGGCCGACTGCGGCTCCCACTGGCCGCGGTTCGCCACTCCAGGCCAATGGGGGCGGCAGGAAGCCGCTGCCAGCACATCCCGCGCCGCTTCCCGCAGCCCCCATTGGCCTGGGACGGCGAACTGCAGCCAGTGGGAGCAGTGATAAGCCAAACCTGCCGACACGTCAGGTAAACAAACTGGCCCGGCCCGCCAGGGGGCTTACCCTGGCGAGCTGCGTACCAGAGGTTGCTGACCCCTGATCCAGTCTGTCTAAGGTTTTTATAGGGCAACTTTTAGTGAAGTATCTGTGAACTTTATAAAAACTTTAAACAGATCAGATACACAACAGTCACATGCAGTTTTCACCATGCTATTAGTCCTTGTGCAGTTAGGCCAGTACAAAGTGACACGCTAGACACTATGAATAAAGGTCCACACAACAAATGGGAATGAACAAATGAACAGTTTGCAAGCATTTCAGAGTCCCAAGCTGATCGCCACTGAATAAATTGGAGGTCATACACCTAGCCATGAATCATGTTATAGTCCTCAGTTAAGAGGTGGGGTGCTGTAAAAATTCCAAGATATGTGGGGGATTAGGTCAGGTGCCTCACAAGGATTTGACAGGCTAGGTTAGTTCTTTTGCATGTATAGCCTGAGTTGACCCACATCTTGCCATACATTGGAGGTTAAACTTTACTTGACAAGTGTTTTTCAAATCAGCACTTCCTCACTGAATTCTATAAAAACAACAAGGAGTCTGGTGGCACCTTAAAGACCAACAGATTTATTTGGGCATAAGCTTTCATGAGTAAAAAACCCCACTTCTTCAGATGCATGGATTTTCACGCCATGCATCTGAAGAAGTGGGGTTTTTTAATCGGTGAAAGTTTATGCCCAGATAAATCTGTAGTCTTTAAGGTGCCACCAGACTCCTTGTTGTTTTTATAGAATTCAGTGAGTCTGGTGGCACCTTAAAGACCAACAGATTTATTTGGGCATAAGCTTTCATGAGTAAAAAACCCCACTTCTTCAGATGCATGGATTTTCACGCCATGCATCTGAAGAAGTGGGGTTTTTTAATCGGTGAAAGTTTATGCCCAGATAAATCTGTAGTCTTTAAGGTGCCACCAGACTCCTCGCTGTTTTTGTGGATACAGACTAACCCGGTTACCCCTCTGATAATTGAATTCAGTGTTATCACTTGCTTATAGAGCACTAGTCACTGGGATGTGTGACTCACTCACTCCTCTGCTAATTTAATACTTATCGCCATGATATTTGAGCTGCTTACAAATTCTAAAGTTAATCACTGGTTTTTAGACTGGATGAGGTAGGGTTTTGACGAAACCCAAATTCACATTTTTCTCAAGTTTTGAGCAAGAGAGCCATCTTTATTTGCAAGCAACTTCCATCCTTTCTAAAATTCTACTTCTGATAGCAGGTTTAAATACTGCTATCTGTTACGCCATAATGCACAGCAAATCGGAGTTACTCCACTAAATTCAGTAGAAGAAACTCCAGAGTTACACCATTGTAACTTCTAGTATGTCAATTATCTATGCAGTTACTGGACTTGGCAGTTACATTGTATAGGATGCATGTCATTTGTCTTTGCCCTAGACCCACAAAAACTATGTAGCTGGAGAAAGAACTCCGAAGACAATTAGTCCATTCCATTCTGCTGTCAGTATCAGTTTGTTCCCTGTGTATATTTTTTTTAATGAAAGTTTGCTCTAGTCATTCATATGTTAAATGTTTAGGATGAAAAATATATATATATTTTTTAAATAATTGTGTGGGTAAAGACTGTAAATAAAATTACTACAAGCAGAATCTACCTCTCTCTCTCTCT